CGCTCTTTACGAAAGCGTTTTCTGCTATCCTCAAAAACTAAAATAACAACAGGTCTTACAATGCAGAAATCGAACTACGCAGCTCAAGGCTGGCGCGGGATGATGGGTTGAAGCCACATTCACCATCACACTCGAAATTGCCATTGACCTTGACAAAGTGCTGCAATATAACTATGTTTTGAGATGTATGACACTGTCAACAATGGCCGCATCGACATGAACTACTGGAAGCGGATAGACCCAGGTGTCTATGTGGAGTCCGACGAAGATACGCCAGTCGAACAGAGAACTTCCTATGTTGTGCAACATGACCGTGAAAGTCGAATTGATGCCAACCCCTTTCGGCTTCCCACTGCTGTTGAACATGGACGCATTCATACCCATATTGAAAAGGTCACCAGCATGGACATATCCTGGCAATGAATAGTTGTAGTCGGTGATCGTTTTGATACGAGAGGTCAGTTTGAGCTGCCCGCTCAAAGTGATATCAGACACATATCCTGGTAGTTTGGGATCGTATTTGCCTTTGCCGCCCCCTGACGTACACATAGTGACCACTCCATCTAGTAGAAGGAATATTAGTGTCTGCTTCAACAACATAGCACAGCCACCAGTCACCGCTGTCAAAGCCGTCGCATTCCCTTGATTCAAAGTGGTTTTTATGCCCAGCACAACCGTCTTTGTTGGGATTTCCACGTCGAAGATGTTCAAGTCCATAGCAAGCTCCATTGTATCCGCTGCATCGTAAGTTCCATTCACACAGTACTTATCAGCAGTCTGCTTGAGCGTAGGGGAGCAGCCCGCAGGTGTTACGAAAGGGACCGAGCTTCCGAGAGGCAGCCCGTTCGCACTCTTTGGCAGTTCAACCGTGAGAAATTGAGTCTTCTCGGAGATATCGCCGAATCGTCTCGGCTTCAGGAAGAGCTGGCACTGAGCCGAAGGGAAACCCACAAGGGCTACGCAGTATAGGAGTCTGGCTGCCTTCATTGGTTTTACAAATTTCCTGAAGCTGGTGGAACTGACAGAATCCATTTTCGGAGAACTCTCTCAGAGAACCTGGACAACGGCTATGCTGTGACTGCTGTGCCGAGCACGCATGGACAACTTATCCCTGCGTGCTGCACAAACCGGTTGCTTCCAGCAGGAGAGGCATCGGCTTCCGAACTCCATCGACGTGTGCAAGAAGTCCCTTTGAGAAACGGAAGACTTTGGGATGCTGAGATCCGTATTCTTTGGCTTTGCAGAGGGCCCTTACAGGCGGCACTGCTGAATTAGCATTAGCAGTGCTGATACTATCCGTTGTGCTCGATTGCTCACGCTCGCACAGCTGATCCTGCCTCTCCCCGATCACGGCGAGTGATGTGCAATACACAATGGGATAAGATTCCTGAAATTACTAGATGCAGTACTTTCAGTTCCCAGGCACATAGCAAAATTTCGAGGGCAAAATGTTGATGAGTGTTTTTCAATGGGAATGAATATTACGACATACGCAACAAGTTGGCTTTTACTACTCACGGGCTCGAACGACGTGTGCCTTTCGACTTGCCTTATTCAGGATATCTCAATGAACATCCCAAATTGATCACGAATGTCGCCACAGACAACAACTTGAACGGGGTGTTTGATATTTACTTACCGCATCAGATGCATTATACGCTCCCTGGTGAGGCCGTCAATTAGTGTTGGAAAATATGCACATAGTCAACTACGTGTGTTGGTGACAATATGAAAATTCTGAAGAATTCTCGGGAAATTCTCGTTGATTTCTGTACATTTCTACCCGAATTCACATGTGAACTCCTATAATTAGTGAGGAAATTGTGGGAAATTCTTGCTGATTTCTGTACGCTTCTACGCAAATTCGCATATGAGCTCCTATAATTAGTGGGAGACCTCCTGAGCTCAGTTGAGGAGAGCGAACGTATTTGGAAACACTGGTTGGTGAAGTTTCAAATCGAGTTGCGTTGTCGGTTAAGCCGGGCATATCACAACCCAAGGGATAGGTGTGATTAAGGAAGCATACTTAATAGTGTACACACATACAGTGGGTGTCGATGTGATTTGAAAATGTATGTTATTTTGTGAAGTTAGTTGCGAGTCGATTTAGAACTATATTGCACATGGAATGTAACGATGGCTATGAACATGTGTCGTGATGAGTTTACTCCTTTCGGACTGTGATAGCGACAACTTGTTCACTATCATTTGTCCTACAAAATAACACACATTTGCATATCGAATTGACACGTACTGTAAGAGCGTCATAGCTACAGCCTTGCTGGATAATACTATAGCGTGATTCACGCTGCGTGGACAACTGGGACGAGAGGCATAATAGTTGGGTTGAATGTCCGACATCGGGAATATACTTTGTTGGACCTAAAAAGTGCACTCCCCGAGAAGGCTTTCGCATCCTGTTTTCAGCGCTGGATCACCCGCCGCCTCCGCCGATCATGCCAAGGGAAGTGGCGAAGTTGATTGGCGTCGGTAGCCATCCTATATCGACTCCGCCGAACAGAGAGCTAGTTTGCAGTGCAAACTTTGCACG